ACAAAAAGATCAATGATCGAAAGCAGAGGCACTATGTTTTTGGATTCAATAAATGAAAATGTATACATACATACATGACAATTCGACTGACCATTAATAAATTGTTAATACTTCATTGCTTTAAAAGTTGTCTTTATCTATATACTAAGCGCCCCGGCAAGGCCCGGCACTGGCCACTGTGAAAGGACCACGACATGTGTGTTTAGTAAGCATATACACGGCATTACCCAACCTAACCACAACCAACTAAAACCAAAACACAAAAAAACGCAAAAAAACACACACACAGCCACAAAACCAAACGCAAACAAGCACAAAGAAAACACAGACACAAAAAAAACCCCAAAAAAACCCATTTCCAAGCATAAACTCAAACACAAACGCAACGTCAACCCTAACACAAATAAAACAAAAACTCAAACCTTAACGCAAAGTGCCCACAGTTTATCCCGGGGCGCCAAATCGCACCATGCTGGGGCGCGGGCGGAATCACCTGTTTCAGCTTAGTAAACGACTGTAGTACCCAAACGCACTCACAGTCGTTTGCACACACTTAATTGAACTTAGGCGCCATATCGAACACGGGAAGGCCCAGGGATCGCCAAATAGCGCCCTGTCGGGGTGCCGGAGGACGCCCGGATATAATTCACTTAAAGACTATAATAACCTTTCTTATCCATACTTTATCCACTGTCTAAAACAAAATTATGCACTTAAGCGCTCACAGAATAGCCCAGGGCGCCAAATCGAACCGTGCAGGGGCGCCTGCGAACGCGCTGTTTCAATTTAGTGAACAATTAAAATACCACAAGTTTATCCGCAAACGAAAGAAGTAAAGATATAGCAGCTGGCTTCTTAACTGGTATTGATATTTTTAAAAATAATTAGTAAACAGTACGTTCAGTGCATAAACAGTGCATAAAAAAAAGACAGTATCTAAATCACCTACTACAATGTGCTTGATCAATCCGTGATAGTTATGTAAGTATTGTTTTCCCAACATCAAATCAAAATAATAAAAAGTATTTTTTTCCTCAGATATATGTTTTTTATATAAAGGGAAGTAATTGTGTTTTCCTAATTTATCCAAGGACGTAATGAGTGCTAAAGAACTAAATGTAGATAATTTTCAGACATAATTTAAATTTGTGGAAAAGTTGATAAGTTTTTTAAAAAAGTGTTTTTTTTAACATGCCGGCAATTATTATAATAAGTTTGAAAAATGAAAATTGTTTTACAGTAGCTCAAATATGAATTTTTAAAATCATGCACACGGAAAGATATAAGTAAATATAGAGGCTGTTTTGAAGCGACTTTTAACTGGTATTGATTAATAATGATAGTCAGTAAACAAAAACATACCCCCCTCACATTCCCGCAGAAAATGTTTGTGTGTCCTAAATTGTCAACAACAAAAAATTGAGTTGATATTGGTGTTACAAAATCAAACAATCCATCAAAAAAACTATCGTGAACTTTGTTGCAGGGTACCGTGTCAGATAGGAGAAGAACGGAAAGGAAAAAACGACATTAGATAGATAGATTCAATGACAAATATTCTCTGGACAAATCATCCAGACGAGATATATATCAAGACACATAATCTCAAGGACAAATGATCCACAGCCAAAAGATTTCATGATAAAATATATCAGACAATATCTCACAGCAAAATTCGTATAGTATTTGAGATAATTCTAGTTTTATTTTTAAAATTTTGCAAAAAAATTGATTGTCTAAATGATTTAGTGAGAAAAGATTTGTGGCATAGGTTCGTCACATTGCCTTTAACGTATTAACAGGGGCCGCAACCAAATAAATTGTTAAATTGTTAAATTATCCCACTGACTGGTAAACCATAGTATGTGTTAAATTTAAATCATCGCAGATGGGTATCTGCTCTATTAAGAAGTCAGATTTTCGCTGGACAACAGCCAGGCTAGCATTGATTATAAACTTAAAACACCAATGTCACATTACGTTCCTTTAAAACAAAATCTTTCTTTTTGGAAACGTTTTGACCATAATTCGGTTAACGTATCATCATTTTATTTGATTTATTCATTTTTATATCTAAAACTTTTATACAAAGTGCTATTAACAAAAAAAAAGTTAACATAGTCTTCTGATCGTAAATAAAGTAGGCCAACATAAAATCCATTTGACAAGGAATACAAACATGTTAAAATCAACTAAAAGAATCATAGTTACTTAAATATTTTACTTTAAGATAATTTGTCTGAGACTTTTTGTCTGAGATCATTTGTCATGAAATCATTTGTCTTGTCAACCATTGATGACATCAAGGATTTGTCTGAGAACTTATCAACGTGGACGAAGAAATATAAAGTCAACAGTAAGACACCAATAAGGGTTAAAAAAAACAAATTTCACTTTCGTGGTCGAGTTCCATACTAATTCTATACAGACGGTATTAGTCATATGATCTGGTTCAGTGAATAGAAAAAAAACGTCATGGTAAAGTCATTAACGTGTGACACAGCGTCAGCCTCGCTAAACATAGCACAATGTGTGAGGGTCGCGGTTTTTTCAATAGACAGGTTGTTGTAACGGTTGGCTAACACTTACTAGGATATTCCTTGTTACAAAGTAATTTGAAAGTAAGCTACACACTTTATAATGTATTCTCTTACTTTCCTCTTGAGGAGTTTGATGTCAGTGACGAAATGTTCTTAAAATAGTATTTTTTTATGTTGTCCTATATTGTATAATCCTGCTTTGGTCAATATAATCACATATTACAATTTAATAAAACTTTATGAATTTTTTAAAAGTAAGATAAAATATACACGACAAACCAATGTAAAACACATATTAGGATGTGCTTTTTTTAATTCTGTCAGTAAATTAAATAAAGTGGAAATTTACATTTAGAAGGGTGTGCGGACCTTTGACCACAGGTGCTTTGACCATAGGGGCTTTGACCATAGGGTCTTTGATCACAGGTGCTCTATCAACGGGTGCTTGATCAAAAGCGCTGTGTCCGGCTTTGATCATAGGAGTTTTGTCCACATAGGGTCTTTGATCTCAGGTGGTTTGTCCAATGCTATCCATATATGGTAAGGATTTATTTTAAAATTTGCTATTTTATATTTTAAATTGCGACATGATGTAATAACATGTTAAATTATCATGTATAAATACAAGTTTTGTATCATTTTTATCCTTTATATATGCTATGTATTTTCAAGTACATCTACATTATGTATTTGTGAAACTTGTTTTATGTCGAATTTTTTGTGTTTCATTTATATTTAAAATAAATCTATAAGGCCTAGCTAGCACTAGCCTTTATGTGGAGACTAAATATAGTTCTTGACTTTTTTAAATACATGCTAATTTCTATTAACGTACTCTCAGAAAACATGTATCTTCTTCTTCTTCTTCGTTCTTAATTTTCCCCACGTTTTCTTTAACTTGCTTTCTCTGTGTCTTTCTGTGTTTGTTTGTCTTTCCAATCAAATCTTGCGATCGAAATTTCTGGCACTTCCCAGTTAGCTAGCGCGCTGAAATTTTCAGGGAAGCTTTCTTTTGGATGACCATAGAATATGCAATTGTTATTATTACTAAATTGATCAATGGAAACATTTTATTGAGCATTTTAGACCGCTATATAATCTATATATATAATTCTACTCTGCGAGCCATTAGAAAAAAAACCAGCGACGCGTACCTCGCGCGCAGTGAAGCGAACGATCCCACGTTGCCACAGGCTTAGGGGCAAATAATTTACTTTGAACCGAGTTTAAACTTACAGGATGTAGGCCAGTTTGTGGGAGACGATATGGTCGAGTGGTTGGGCACACGATTGCTATCCCACTCGACACGGGTTCAAATCTATGTGTTCTAGTCAGTAACGTATTCACACAACGATTTGTTTTCGAGTTGTCTTTTTACGAGTTGTCTTTTTACGAGTTGTCTTCGTTTACCCAAAAAAAAAGTGAAAAGATAAAATCGATAGCAAGATTTTAATGCAAACAGACAAAGACTAAAAAGTAGAAAATAATAATCATTAAAAAAGTTTAAAAAAACCCACGTTTTCTGATTGAACTAAAAAGTAGAAAATAAATACTATACATCACAATAATGCAAGCGATCACTCTACTATAAGCGATCAAAAACGTGGGGCGCCGTGATTTTCTTACAGTTTCTAATACTGTTGACTCTCTACAAGCTCCCTAATAAAAGTCAATAGTATTATCTAATCAATAGTAATATAACTTTTACTTCGGCGCCCCACGTTTTTGATCGCTTATAGTAGAGTGATCGCTTGCATTATTGTGATGTATAGTATTTATTTTCTACTTTTTAGTTCAATCAGAAAACGTGGGTTTTTTAAAACTTTTTTAATGATTATTATTTAGTGTTGGGAGGGTCGAGCCTTATCTGCCAGAGTGTTAAACTCGAGCCTTTTTTCGAATTTATCAACCCTGAGCTTTTGCCGACTCGACCATGCTTCCATCACAATTAAGGTTTACTTGTCAACTGGTTATGCGCCATTGACGCCATTGACTCCGATTTCAGCCTGCTTTATCCAACCAAGAACAAACTACAAGGCAGCAGTTGTTTGATTTTGGAGTTGTCTCTCCTAGAAGAGTGGCTGTCACCAGCTATCGAGCCTTATCTGCCCGAGGGTTCGAACTCGAGACTTTTCGGCTTAGCAACCATGAGCTTTACCGACTTGACCACGCCGACCTCGAAACATGTATAAAATCGTATTAATTGTGTCATAAATTTAAATCAAACAAAAATTAATAATTTTTATTTTAAAATCTATATATTATGGTTAGCCCCCCTCTGTGGTCAAAGCCCCTATGGTCAAACCCCCATGGTCAAACCCCCTATGGTCAAAGCACCTAGGACATTTAGAAGGCATACCTTTTACTATTTTTATTTTTTTCTACCTGTTGGCAATCACAAATGTGAGCTGTGTTATAGAGGAAAAGCTGCTAGACAACAAACTATTAATGGATTTACTA